CCACCGTGCGGAAAAGTTCGTCTTACTCCTGTAAGACTCTTTATTTTTGAATGTCAATGTTGAAATTGTTAGCCTGAGCGTGCGCGTATACGCATCGCGCACCATTCGTTCGATGCAATGAAGCATTGGCTGCATCATTTTCGTTCGTTTTTATCACAAATCGGTCGCAGAACATTTGAGATGTGGCAATTTGAGTGGTTCATACATGCATATGCATACTGATTTTCTTGTGATGCAAACGACAACGACGACAACAACATCGGCTATTTGGAAACTCGACATTCTATTATTAGACGATGTAATAACACAGTGTGTTTTCACTCGATTTCTGTTTTTATAGTTTATGTTCTCGTCGCTCAATTTTTCATGTTGATCAATTTTAACGGAATGGCTTGAATACAATGCTATGATGAACATTGAAGAACATGCGAAGACACTCACTGCTGGTGAACGGCTGAAACATGAATATTATTGTGCTATCGATGTGATTTATACTATACGATATGCCATGTCACACAGCTCAATATTATTTTCGATTTTGGTTCAGATTTTCACTGTGTGTGCGTGCGCTTGAGCTCGATTTCAATCGTCATTCGACAGTAAATGCAATTAAAAACATATGTTTTATTATTAGTTCAGACGCTGGTTTGGCCGTAACCATTGAAAAGTGTTAACAACAAATGTGTTGCGATGTACAGTCGACATCATTCACCAGATAGAAAAAGATTGCCATTGAAATTTTTAACGGCCGATCATCGAAGCACATTGTTTTTAATGGATTTCCTTTGGAATTGACATCAAAAAGTTAAAAGGGGTCGAATATAACTAATCTAATCCAGAAATGTAGCTACTTATAGCTTCTTTTGAAGATTTTATGCGGTAAATTTTTTCGTTACTGGAATGAAAATTGTTTTTTTGAACGTTATTTTTCTTTTAAACGGACGCATTTCCATTGAACAACGACAGTAAAAAGAAATATACAAAAAGAAAATTATATTTGCTGTCCGCACGCATGAAAAGACACACAAGAGCATGTGGAAAAATCCTTTGCATGGCTGAAAAGAAGTAAAAGCAACAAAAGCGAGTCAATTGCTTGCTATAATTGCTCTGGCATTCGGCAAATGCGAATGGAAAGCGAAATAAAGCAACGGTAATTTATGTACTATTATTCATCATAAATCGCAAACGCCAACAATACGGACTTATGAGCTTTATTAACAAGCAGTACCAGTTACGTGAATCGCACGGTTCACTCTGCATTTTTGCCATTCTGCACGTTTACATTGTGTGACTGATTTTTTGAAGTGAACGTAGTAGCAACACGAAATACAATGAATAGATAAAATATGAATTTTCTGAGGTAATTTTCACAATGGAATTCCGTCCACGCCACGCCAATTTGAGTCCTTAAGCGTTTAGTATGTGTATGTTACTTTATTCATTTCATTTCGGTTTTTCTCATTTATTTTTGCGATTTTAGCTCGTCACGAACGTGGATTTTTGACATTGTGGTCATTGGTTAGAGTTGAATTTCCACCTTTCATTTCATTCCATTGCGCAATTCAATTTTATTTGTGTGTGTGTTTTTTTTTGTTCAAGTTGAATTGTGTTTTCTTGTCAAAAAAATGAAGCCAACAGAAGCATGTGAACAAAAAAAGAAGAAAAGATGTGTCTGTTGTGAAGGATAGCGTGCGCATTTTCAATTTATGTAGTATTTGCGGTTGTCATACGAAACCCCCCAATTGGAATGGGCAAAATTACAGCTTTGCCCATTATGAACATAAGACAAAAAAATAAACTCTCTATCCCATATACAATCGCGCACACACACATACATACATTTGGTAATATGATGAGCTGCTTCTTCATTTAGCGACCTGTTTTATCAATAAAGTTTTTGTGTGCTCGTTCCAGTTTTTAAAAATAAATAAAAGAAAAGAAACCCGAGGTTCTCATGCAACTACCGTCCAGTACGGTGATGGTACACTTTGAATCGTGGTAGTATTTTTTTCGGAAAAAAATAACGTGGTTTGTAGAAAATTAAAACGAAGACGGCTGTTTTGAAATGGCTTTGAGCACGAAACACTCAAATTACAAACATTTGAAACAAATAACAAAAGTATATTCAAAATGTTGGATGTCACTTTTTTTCTGTGATGTATATTATGTATGGTCGCATCGTGAATAGCAGTTGGTTGGATTAGCAACGACGCGAAAACGCCAAGGTTGATTTATTTCTAGTATGAACATGTTCATATTCAATGCAAAGAACATTCTCTCACCAATTTCCAATCGAAATATTTCAAACTGAAGCAAAAAGTGAGAAACAAAACGAATGAGAACCATCCAAAAACTTATCGAAGCACCAAATCCATTCATCATTATTGCTATCAAAAAAAGTGTCCAGACAATGCAACTTTCGGTTCGGTTGGACTATTCGAATAATAATCTGTCATTTTCGCCTTTCTATCTCTTTGAGGCCAACAATCATGAATAAAATCGCCCCGATACACCAAACACAAACCGAATGGATTTTTGTGCTGCTCACAGCAACCAAAAATCAATAACATACCAAATGCAATCATTTTTTGTTATTTATTATCATTGCGATTGCATGGTCGAATAAACACGTCAAACATTACGACAGTGCATAATGCTCATTTTCATTCACCAATCGCCATGTGAACGGTGACAGTTTTGCTTAATTTTATTAATGACGCATATCCATGTTTTGATCATAAAACTTCATGCTGACTGTTTGCAATTTTTATTATATGTTTTGTTATTCAGAGAAAATATTTAAGTTTTGCATAAAAAGTAACAATGATTTTCAAATGGAAAGATAGGCTTTATATTTAGTTTTTGTATTTTAAGCAAAAACGTCGGAAAATTTGCAATAAAATATATACATTTTCCGGAATCAGGTGACGTTAAATTGGCCTTCGTCAATGAACAGATTCTGTACCAAAATTGCGAAAGTGATAATTGATATTACATTAAAATCAACCAAAATTCGTGAATAAAATGAACAAAATAGTTAATTTTGTCATTTATTTGAAACAAAAACACAAATTTGATCAAACGAGTGTGAACATTTCCATCCGAAGCTAAGCATTCTTAATTTCGAATCGAAATAAAAAAATACGTTTATTAAATCCAATTTTATACAAACTTAAACAGATCCTTTGTATATTTTGAAAACTATTTATGTTATATTCTTAAGAATAAGCAAATTCCAACAGTATATCCCCCAATATTTAATCATTTTTGTGAACTTTGTGAAATTTCACAGCAGTTAAGTCAATGATTTTGAAAAAAAAAACTTCCTAAAATTCTTATTTCGATCATTTGAAGATTTCTTAGAAAAAAGGTACTTAATTCAAATAAAAATAATAAAATTAAGATTGCAAAATCGAATTGAGACAAAATTGAGTATTTCAATAGAACACATTTTATCTCGTAAATAAGAAAGAGTTAAAGCTTGCAATCCAGTTTATGTTACAAACCATTTCATAATACAAAAATGTTAACAAAGCCGTTGCTCATAGTATTCAATTCAAAGCCGTTATTCATACCCAACTGTAGTGTATTGACTGGTTGGAATACAACATGTATATGATATATGAGAATCTCCAGCACATATGTGCAGACGTGTGGAATGAGGAGAAATTATGTTTACGAATGAAAAACTATCCGCCAGCAGATGGCATTATATCATGTGTCCATATGAGAAATATATTAACTATTCAAAGTTGAATAATGTTTGTTCGAATTGGAAAAAAAATGGACGAATGTGAATATTAAAAAGTTATGTTTGCTTTTGCAAGCCATGTAACCATTTTTTTTTATTAAATGGTGGTAAACTGATTACGATGTAACGTCAATTGAGTAAATTACACATTCTTGCGAGCAAATATGAGGATATGAAATCAATTTGTCGATGTAAGGATAACAAATTCCGCGTCTTTTATTTTCACGTTGGATAATTTCATAACATCACTTTATGTGATGTGTCATTCCGTTGTGAAAAGAATTCAATGGGTGAATGAAAAGAGGATGCAGAGAGCCATAGCCATTAAACTAATTTAAATAAATTACTATTTAAAGTCGTTTCGTTCATTTCATAGAGGTCTTGTGCAAACGTTTCTTTTTTTTCTTTGCTTGCATTGTCGCCGTCTTTCGTCTCACTGTGTGTGGAATATTACGTGCGCTTCTGTCAAAATGCAAGTGTGATTTCATTTAAGAGTTCCTGCTTCATTCTCTATCTCACTCGCATTATTTATGTACTTGAAAATTTTATTTCACTTCATTTCGACATGATGTGCTGATATTTTGTGCACTTTACGAAGTGCGTTCCATGTCGAATTGTTAAAAGAGAATGGTTTTTCCCTCGGTGTATGAACGAGAAAATATTTGAATGTGTGGGATTTTACGATGGTTTCATTTTGAATGTTTCAGTGGATCACGTTTGCTTCTTGCCAAAGTCTGATATTTCACTATGGTTCTTCTTATTTAACTTCTCGCGCAGCGACGAAACTTATATCTAGTATAATCAGCACATAATATAATCCTTACATAATTCATAAAAA